AAGTTAGTTCTTTCTGTCCAACACCTTTCTTCCACAGGGAGAATGCATAACTACCATCCGCATGATCACAGTTCCAAAAGAAACACATTTACAATGAAGGTTAAAATTACCTATGTAAGAATGATAATCTGGAAATGCAGTGAATTTGAAAAGGATTGACTTATTTTGCTCGAGAGCAGTAATTTCATTCTGTGGGAAAGTTCATGAGAGTTAGGAAGGGGTGCTGGCCTTCATCAGTGTTCACGGCTTTATCAACATCGCAGAATTCATGCTGGAATAAAAAAGTGTGAACATGACACAGGGAGGGAGGTCTTTAGCCCCGGATTGCAACTTAGTCAATATCAAAGAATATATATTGGGGGGAAAATGCTCTAGATATGATAAATATGAAAGGTTTTTTAGCCACTGTTCAGTGTTTACTCTCTACTGGGGCATTCATATTGTGATTGATGCCTGTGAATGTAATGGCATAGAAAGGCTTTTAGCAAATGCTCACACCTTACTAGGCACCACAGAATTAATAATGAAGATGAAACCAATGAGTAGAATGACTTTGGAAAGCAAGGTCTTCAAACATGATGCCAGTCGTGTAGAGTGAGACAATGCATACTTGAGAAAAGCCCACAAATGCCATGATTGTAAGAAGTCCTTCAGGCACTGTGTAAACAATTAACAACATCACAGAATTCACAATGGGGGAAAAAGTCCACGTAAGTAATGAATGCGGAGAAGCCTGGAATCAACATTGGCAATTCATACACTGAATGAATCCTAATAAATACAAAGAAGGTGAGAATATCTCTAACCAATGTCACGCCTTACTCATAACAGAGAATTCAGGCAGAAGAATGAAAAGTGGAACTCATCTTAGTTACAAACGTCACTGATTTAACATCAGAAAATTCACAGTGATGGGAAACCTCTGAGTTCAGCACTGTCTTTTGCCATAGCTCAAAGTAATTTACAAGTAGAGAATTCTTACTGGGGAGATGTCCAAATCACAGAACAAGTGAGTAACTTGAAGACCCAGGCAGCAAAGCATGTAAAATGTGAAGAAATTCCTTTACCTATGGAAAAACATGGTTTCCGTTACCCATTTCATAATAAGTGTTGGTAATATTTTGTCTAGGAGTAAATATTAATTGAGACAGTAGGTGTCCCACTACAACAAGCAGAGAGGCAATTTCTTTGTTATAAGAAAAGCTTACCACAAAAAAAAATTAAAAAAAATAAAAAAAATAAAAAAAAATAAAGAAAAGCTTACCACATTTGTCTTTATAGGATATATCTTTTAATAACTTCTATGCTAGGAATCATTGATTAGTTAAGTTTTTAATAGATAAAGTTATGAATCTATTCTACATGGTTCTGAAGAGATATTGGAGAATGAATCACTCTAGAGTAAAAAGTTTCCAGATGAGCAAAGCGGGGGAGGGGGAACCATTTTCTGATGATCTCTCCTTTTTAGGAAGATGTGGGATGAACCTTCAAGAATCTGGTGACTTTAGGGCAGATGATAGAGTCACGATGGTGTTGAGAATTGACTCAGGGGAGAAAAAAATAAGGACAAGTGTCAAGAAGGAGGTCTGCGAAACCTAAGGGAAATGTTTCCTTTAGTGTCAGAACCCATGTAGAGAAGCAAGTAAGACCAAGGCAAATGGGAATGAAGGGTCAATATCTTTGGGGAAGACCACAGCAGGACTTGTATGCAAACCAAATTTGAGGTTTTGTGATTGCTTCCCTTGACCACTAATTTAGCATACTGTATAAGGAAAAATAAGTTTTTTTGAAAAATTTGAAAATTTTCTACCACAGGGAGAAAAGACTTGAGAGTGGAGAGTAGAGTGGACCAGGGAATGTCAGGTGGCTAAGAAGGAGGTGGAGAGGGAAAAGAAGAGAGAGCTTGGGGGACCCTTCTTTGGTGAGTGAGATTTTCAGTTTTGGAAGGAGGGTCTACAGTTGTGCAATGATGTTCCTCCCTTACCATCATGAACTTCCACATCCTGCTCCCACCCTACTCCAGCTTTCCTGAGGGTTCATGTTACCTTCATGCCATCAGGTGGGATTTGTACTTCTTTTAAGGTGGCCTTGTTTTATTTGGGCTATGCATAAAAATGGAGATACCATCTACCTTTCAGTATGATAAGGACTAAATAAAGCAAAACATGTGGGATTGCATGACATACAACATGTTGAGCACTTAATATGTACCCGTCACTGTTCAATGTGGTAGGAACACAGCGATAAACAAAACAGATAAAATCCTGGCCCTTGTGGATCTTAACAAGTTCTCATTTTTCTCATCTTCTTTTTGTTAATCTTGGTGGGCATTTCATGCAACCAAAAGGAAATGTTTGCTCTCCTTGTGATCCTGGTCTCACATCTGCTTTGATGAGCAATCTCCTTAATTGATATAATGTTGTTGATTAGTTATGATAATAATAATCTTGGCCAATATTTGTTGCATGCACTTTGGTCTCCATGTGTTAATGCACTAAATCCTCACAGCATACCTATAAAGCAAGTATTTGTGTTACCCCCATTCTGGAGGTAAGATAATGGGGCACAGAGGTCTTGTTTTGGCAGAGGTGACATTTAAACCAGATGTTGGGCTTCAAAGCTGCTATTCTACCGAGACGTCGCTCTATCACAGGAGTGAAAAGTCCTATTCCCTCCAGAGAAATAAGCATTATCTAATGACCCTGCGCAGGTAGCCCTTAACAAGTTAATGTTGGACAAATGTTTGCTTTTCATAAAGCAAACCTTAATGCCTTTATCTTTCCAAATGTGTGTAGTGCCGACTCAAGGCCACTCAGGGAGCCAGGGAACAGAGGCAGGCCGAGTAAGCCTTTATTTACATTTTGAGAAGAGTTCAGCATTTTTCTTGTCTACAAAAGAATGTTAACATCTGTCTTTGGCGCTCATTTTGGGTTCTCACTGCTGTTTGCGACTGCTGTCCCCAATCCCTGGCTGCCAAGCCTGAACGCTCCCCTTCATCTCAGAATGCTGAGCCTTTCCTGGCTCCCAGCTCCAGACAGATATTTCTCTCCTGTGCAAACGTCAGGAGTAATTCTTCAACAAACTGTCATGTTACTCCTTCATTTTTTCCACTGCCATATTAATTTCCCCTGTATATGACATTTCCGCAGAGGCAGAGGGAGAAGCAGGCTCCCTGATGAGCAAGGAGCCCGATGTGGGACTTGATCCCAGGACGCTGGGATCATGACCTGAGCCAAAGGCAGCCGCTTAACCAACTGAGCCACCCAGGCGTCCCTGGAGGTTCAGTCTTTTGAAGTTGTTTACTTCTCTCTCTCTCTCTTTTCAGATAAAGTTTCTTACGAAGGACTAGTTAAATTGGAAAAGGCTGGTGTGATTCTGTGCTTGGAACAAACCTTCATGTAAAACCAATGAGAAATTAACAACAAAATGTATGTGAATAATCTCAGTAAGGCTTACCAAAAACATAAATACTTATAAGAGCTTATATTCATCGAGGACTTGCTGTGCTACCCACTAGGCTAAGCATTATATATATAATAATAATTTATATATATGTATGTAACATTAGGTTTAACTCCCATAGTGACCCTTGAGATAGGTACTGTTATCATAATACCTATTTTATATGTGAGGAAACTAAGATTTACAGAGATTAAATCATTCGTCCAGAGACACATCTAGTGGCAAAGATGGGATTTGAACCCAGGGAATACGATTCTAGCTCTTAAGCATCACAATATACTATTTGTTGACTTTACAACAACAGAACCACCCAAAGCAGAGGTAGGAATGATGGATGACCTCTGAGGTTTTGCAAAATAGGGTTTTCTGGCTGTTTCTCCCCCATGGGCACAGTGGCGGGCTCCTTCTAGGGCGTGGTGGGGCAGAGCTGTGCTTTCTCTAAACACGTTTGATTCCTGAAGCCCCACAGACTCCTTTATGAGTCTGGCCCCTAAATCATTTTTGCAGTCTGGCATGTGTAAGGTTACAGGATTAGGCCATAAAATAGTTAGAGGCTCACAGTGGCTGGGCCATTTCTCATTTCAATTGGACATGTTTTGATAAGATTCCTTTTCAAGTCTTGGAAATGTTTCTCTCATTTACAACGTAACTCTGCGTGTGTGTTACTTGGTTGAAATGGAAAAAAAAAAAAAAAGGAAGGCAAAGAAAGAAATTATCTCTGTTTTGAGCCATTTTTGAATGTCGAGTTCCCAGATTCTAAAATACGCTTGGAATTAGTAAACATAATAGCCCGCGTTTGTATTTTTTAAAGATATTTAATGACATTTTCATACACATGCTCTCCTTTGAATCACCCAATGAGGTAGATTAAAAAAAAAAAAACTATATTATTAAATCCTTGCATAGATAAAGAACCTGAACCTCAGTAAGGTCACTTGAACTTGTCTATCGTCAGTTGGCTAGTAAGCAAAGAAAGACTTAGAATCTCGCCTGTTTATTTCTAGTGAAGTGTTCTATGCCAGCACCGTAGCTGTAGCTCTTAAAAAAAAATACACACATGCACAGGACTTGGGACTCATTCTCTGCTTTATCTTCAGTTCTTAGAAAAATCATAGCCCTTCAGCTCCTAGCCCTTCAGTCCCGCCTCCCCGCTAAATCATCCAGAGGGATTCCGCATAGCGGGTCAGCAGAGAGGCTCTGTATCTTCTAGTTTTGTGACTTTGAGCAACTCATCTTACCTCTCCATGTCTCCATGTTTCATCTCCGTGTTTCATCATCTGCAAAATGGGGACAAGAACAGTACCTACTCTATCAGGTTTTGAGGGAATTAATTGGATTCATATGTACCTGGCATTTGAAACAGAGCACTTAAGTGTTTGCTATCACTGTTACCCCAAAAAGAAGTTAGCATAATCCTTCTCATAATCCGTGTCTCCTGGACACAGACCTCCTCCAGTCACTCTGGACAATATATTCCCATTTTTACAAAAACTGCAAACGATAACAAATTGCATTACACAAATAAACATCACACCGCCTTACCAGGACTGCTGCATGACATCATTTGGCAGTAGGAAGCGGCACATATTCGCCGTCTGGTTGTTATTTTTGGTAAAAGGCACCAGGTTGCTATAAATTGGGTACGGAGCCATAATGGTAAAGGAGAGGCACCAGGTCGTGGCGATCACCTTCAAAGCATGGGATTTGGTCTGCCAGACCCGGGACTGTAAGGGTTTGCAAATCGCACCGTATCTTTCCAGAGATATGGCAACCAGATTAAAGGTGGATACACTCACAGAGGTGCCTGGGAAAGGAACAGAGAAGTCAGTTATGACGGCTCTGAAATCCCAAGTTTATTTGCATGTTAACTTAAGCATGTCTGCTCGGCACAGGCTCGCTATCAAGGGACAACACTCAGAGGGTAAAGAAATATCATGTACCTGTATTTATTTTTTTTAAGTGATTTATTCCCAGCTTCATTTCAAAAGGATTTAAGGCAGCTGAAGAAATGTACTTACGAATACATCTGATTGCCAGTTTTTAGATAAGTTTATTGAACTTTGATTACAACCAAACTGCTTCCCAGGTTGAAGTTGCTCATTAATTAATAACCAACGGGAGGAGATACGTTCCTCTCCTACACAAGAGGTTTCTGAGTCGCCTGGAGAGAAGCTCTTATTTTGAGCATAACCTGAAGTTAAATTGACCTAGTAGCCCAGATTCTTAAGGACTGTGACCCTGAAAGGTCACAGGGGTCTGAGCTGGAGGCATTAAAACTCTGAGAGTTCCTAGTACAGACGGTTTTGAGAATGAACCATTATAAATTTGAAAAAGCAGTCTACTGAAGAAAACACACAGTAAAGGAAGGATAAAGGGAGAGGGCTCCACGCCGTAACTAAGAAGAACTGAGAAGAGCAACCTTTGTTGCTCTTGGGGGGGGGCGGCGGGGACTAGAGCTTTCCTTCTTATTCTGTTTGTTTTTCTATATTTCTATAAGGAGCATGCATCATCAGTAAGAAAGACATCACAACACCTCATTTATAGTGATGTGCTTAGGCATAGTCAAAAAGCTTAATTTTCTTTCATTTCTGTATTTTGTTTGTGTATACTTATTATCATGTCTTACCGCCTTAGAATTCCCTCTAACTATTCATCCATGGATTCTGTCGGTTAATCTGATTATCTTTAGCATGATTTCTTAGACCTTAGGATTAATCTAAGTTGGGGAGAAGAAGCTCTTAGTCTGGGGCCTTTAATGGATATAAATAAATTCTCTGAAACTGTGCATAAAAATGTTCTTCTGGGGGGGAGATACCTATAGTATCCCTTAGAGACTTGAAGGAATCTACAACCCAAAAAACATTAAATGAAAACTCATGTTCTGAGACAGGATGGCTGTGTTTTCCTGGACTCTGCCCCAAGGAACTGATGACACTGAGATTACAGAGTGTACCCCCAGCATCTCTGGAGTCAAATCTGTATAATGGGCTCACTGTTATTATAAACCCCCATCAGGCAAGCACTCTTTCGTTTTTTCCTCTTTCCCTTCTTCCCTTCTACCCTTCTCCCTCCCTCCCTCCCTCACTTAACTCCCTTCCTTCTTTCTTTTCTTTTTCTTTTTTTGCCTGCTATAAGGAGTTTAATGAATGTTAACTGTTAGGAGTAGTATTGAAAAGAACACAAAATCAAGGGAAGAATCAAAATCCCTGGATTTAGAAATCCAACAAAACCATTACAGCATTGGACACAGCTTCAGAATTTTCTTGCTTTTATTATTCTTTTTCTTGAGGTGAAATATCACCAAAAATTAACCATTTTCAAGCAGGCAATTCTGTGGCCTTTGGCACACTTAGGGTGTTGTGCAATCACACCAGCCCTCATTTTAAGACTCCTTTCACAGACCCTAGTTAAGATTCTTAAATAATATTATCATACTATGGGTGGGCAATGACAGCCAAAAGTGTGAGGAGATGCTGGTAACTGTTACCGCTTCATTGTTTAATCATGATCCCTTTCATTCGTGGACGAGGACGGACATTCTCTTGGTTGTTTGTCTGTGGCACACGGATCAGTAATCCATCATCGTTTTGTCAGGGCTGGATCCCGCTGCCTCGATCGGGAGAAATCAAGGCTTTCAAAGCTTTCCGGTCATTGAGGATGGCCCCAGCCCAACTCAGCTCTGCCTGTTGCAAGGCTGAGGTCAGAACAAAAAACAACACTCCTCCTTGCAGCTCGTATTCAGAAGGGAGAAGGCACAGGGCAATCTGGCAGCCAAAGAGGGCAGAGAGACATCTTTGCTTGGCTTCAGGAAAGCACCAGCTGCTGGCAAACTGGGGCAGCATCTGTCCTCATCCACCACTGTGGTGGCTCCTGATCTAGATTCAAATCTCAGCTCTGTGGCTTAGCACCTGTGTGTCCCCGGGCACCTGGTTAACCTCTCTGTGCCTCTCTTCGCTCCTTGGTGAGACGGGAAAGAATAACTGTGTTTTATATATATATATATATTTTTGCAGAGTGGGTTGGGGGATGGGATCGTGAGAGTAAAAGCACTTCGTACAACATCTGCTGCATCACAAATATCAGCTCTTGTGATTTTTATTTATCATCATCATCATTTTGATTGGCAGAAGCAAAGAGCTGCATGTCTTAGCCAGTCAGGGTGAGCTTAATGACCCACAGGCTCTGGGAGCAAAATCAGTTCCTCATTTAGTGCCAGAGGGCATGTTCTCTCTCTCTGTCTCTCTCTCTCTGCCCAAGAGGGTCCCAGCCCCTGGGGATCAGGCTGGGAAGTGAATCCTGAGACAGGACTCTAGAGCTGGGACAAAACTGGTTTTCACATAGCCCCTGAGCCCTAGGAGAGCAAGAGCAACAACAGAAAACCTTCCTCCACCACCCCATCACCCCCAAAAGCCATGGCTTGGCTCGGGCAGAACTCAAACCATGACCAATGGCTTCCAGGAAGGACAGGATCGCTTGAATCCTTCTTGCTTTCTAGCAGAAGCCAGCAAAACCAACCTCTCCTATGGCTGGTTAATAACTTATTCCATTCTGAGAAACTGACCTCTGAAATGGACGACGGGGGACTGACTTCTGGGGACGCATGAGGACCGACCCACCTTAAAGCCAGCACCTGCATCCTTGCACACAGCCCCACACAGCCAGATGTTTGTTTTGTTTTGTTTTGCTTTGCACTCAGCAGGACGCCTCTGCTGAGGCTGTCAGAGGGTTGGGAAGGTCTGGGGCCGAGTAGGGTCTGGGGCGAGCTCCAAACAGCCCCCAGGAGCAACTCACCCATGAAGTAGGTGGTGGTCTTGCAGACGGCACTCCCAAAGATGAAATCCTTGAGCAGGTTGGGGATGAGGTTGAATGGCATGCAGAAGAGGCAGAGCATGAGGTCACTGACCGCCAGTGAGAGCAGAAAGATGTTGGTGACCGTTCTCATCCTCTTGTTCCGAATCAGCACCGTAATGACCAGCGTATTCCCCAGGACACTGAGCAGGAATATCAAGGAGTACAGAAGAATCTGCACGGCTGGCTGCCACTCTGCAAAGAGTAACAGGAACGAGACAGAGGGACGGAGGTTATGGGAGCAGAATGTGAAAATCTCAGCGCACAAAATGAACGGTGATTTCCTGCAGGTTAGTTTTGTTGTTGTTTGTTTTGTTTTTTTTGTTTGTTTGTTTGTTTGTTTTGCAAGGGTCTACATCACTGAACCCGACTATTCCTCTATCACCAATATTTTGTAGAAGCAAACTGAGGAGCGTACGGAGTGATCCCGTTGCTTCTGATAGGTTGGTTTGTTAAAGAATCGCTCAGGGAACCACTTTTTCTTAAGAACAAAGCTTCTCCAGTGACTACCAGTTGCTTTCTTTTCCCAGCTGCTAAGCTTGATTTCATTTTAATCACTTTTTCACGCTGGATATCCCCCAAGAAAAGGTGACAGATTGTGACAGCACCTTTTCTGTGATGCCGGTAAGTTCCAGCTTCGACACTTGTACCCCCTTCTTATGACACTTCAGCTCCTCCTCCCTTGGCTTTTGCCCCCCCACTTCCCCATGCCCTCTACCTCCATCTCAACTCTCCTGCGGGGAACAATCAGGATATTTGACTCAGTTCTGCTTTTTGATCTGTTATCCAAACTTGTGAACGTATGACTTTATCCAGCCTGGTCTCAAGAGGACTTTGTTATAATTTTCTCTATCAGCCCCGTCTTTGTTGATTTCTCCCACACCTTAATCATTTCCTGAATTAAAATAACAGTGTCTGGCGCCTACCTTTAGAAGGATGGGGCTGATCCAAGCAGAAAAGCGTCTCATTTTCGATTCCCAGCTCACAGGGAGGAGTGATGTTGCTTCCATTCACAAGAAGGCTGTCGACCACATCCATCCTTGCCTGCTGTTCTCGAAGTGCTGGCGAGCTGGTGAATTGCTCACCCTCGGCTCATTCCTCTAATGACTGGAGAGCCTCCCGAATGCAACCTGCCGTGGGGGGGCAGGAAGGGAGGGAGTTCCAGGTGTGGGCTTTTGCAGCCATTCCTAAAGGCGACGCGAGTTCACCACGCTCAGTCCAGCCAGGCAAGCGCTTGCTCTCCTGTCTTGGAAAAGGCAGCTCAGGCAAGCCAGCCTGCTCCACCTTCGGAGCCCACCCCTCCCATTCCTGGGCCAGTCTTAGGGCCCTGAGCACAGAGAGCTTGACTGCGAGTTAACCCTTCCCAGAGTGTCACTGCTCTTATACACACTTGAACACACACGGATACATACGCACAGACACAAACACACACTCGTCCCCGGTACCTCTCTCCTCTGTATAGGAACCTGTCACCAACCCAGACATGTGCAGAATAAAGCCCAAACTGGCTGTGTGACACAGGAACAATCAACACGGTAACAGATACGATAATGCACACCATCAGGACTGAAGGGCATGGAGGGACTGCGTTTCTACCTCCTTATATAAAAGCAATTAGTGCCTTTTTAGCTTTGGAACCGTGCCCAGCAATGTGTGTAGATATAACCACCCGCTGGTTGTTAAGTTGTTACCAACCACAGTGTTATTTCTCGTGGTCTCTGCCCTTGTTAACTGAAAGGAGAGGGGGTGCTTTCGGATATAGGGTTCCAGATACTTATTATAAGAAAAATTGTTCAGATCTTCCATTCATTCATTTATTCATTTGTCCATTCATTCAGCACATGTTCATTTAGAGTCAACCATTTGCCAGGCGTTCTCTAAACACAGAAGTGAATAATAAGCAAGATCCTTTCAGATAGTGTTGAGCACCATGAAGAAAAGCAAGCCAGATGATGCAATGGAGAGGAATGGATTGGAGGCACTAATTTAGGTGAGGTGGTCAAGAAAGGTTTTCTGAGGGAGAGGACCATGATCTGAGACTTGGAAGATAAGGAAGAGGAAACCTAGGGGAGATCTTGGGAAAGCTTCTTTCAGGCAGGAAGAATGGTGTTTTTGGCAGCAGACATAGCAAGTGCAAAGGCCCTGAGGTGAGAATGAGCTTGACCTCTTTGGGGAACAGGTAACAGTAGGAGTGAGTGAGGGGCAAACAGTGAGAGGTAAGATGAGAGAAGAAGACTGGCCTGGGGGTCTGGGTTTTCTGCGTAGTTCTGTTGCCCTCCAAAGTCCCTCAGTGTCACCACATGACAGGGCTAACATTGGGTCCATTTGCTGGGAACCTTGTGTACTGACAGCTCTCTCAGTTGACAGAGCTACGCACTGCATCTTTGCTGAATGCAGATGAACTAACTGGCATTTTTGCGGTGGAGGCTGAGGATGTGGGCTGGGAAGATAGAGTAGCACCTAGAGTGACAAATAACTCTCCCTCTCCCTCTGTATGCTCTCTCTCTCTCTCTCTCTGACAATTTTTTTTACTTATTTACTTATTTATCTGTCAGAGAGAGAGAGAGAGAGAGCATCCATAAGGAGGGGGAGCAGTGGGCAGAGAGAGAAGCAGGCTTCTCACTGGCAAGGCTCCCAAGGCAGGACTTGATCCCAGGACCCTGGGATCATGACCTGAGCTGAAGGCAGATACCCAACTGATTGAGCCACCTAGGAGTCCTAATAAATAAAATCTTAAAATCTTAAAAAACAACAACAACAAATTATACTTATTATTTTCCTCCTATGCAGGAAGAAACTGAGACTCAGAGTGGCTTGGTGATTTGCTGGTGAGAACCAGTGCTGGATACCCCCTGGGGGACCTGGCATACCCATCCTTCCTCCACTTCCTGCAGTTTGGAACCTTCCTTGTTATCCTAGGAGCATGTAGCCCATTTGTTGCCAGGACCCTCCTCTCTGCTCCTCCTTTCTGCCACGTGTCCTGTCAGCTGAATCTTTCCAGCCTGCAGACCGATGTGGACCCTGCCCACTAGGAGGGGACCCAGTGCTGCCTAGTCCTGGTCCTGGAAGGGATGAAGGTTCAGGTTTTGAGCCCTGGGAACAGCTAAATGTCACCCTCCTGCTCTTCCCAGCTGCTCAGCGGCTCTAACTGGGCAGACATCCCTAGTGGTAGAGGGAGCCTCCTGCTGAGTCTCGTCACCCCCAGAGCTGCCCTGAAGTTCCCTCCCTCCATCCCTCCTTTCCTCTCTATTCCATTTCTGTCCCAGGGTTGTCAGGAAGTGACAGGGAGGGGCGGGGAGGGTAAACGAGGGTGGGTGCTAGCCATACCCTGAACTCCCCAGGAGTGAGTGTGGCACATTTGGGTGCTGTGTTTTACGAACTTCAGTGCACATCTGAAACACCTGGGTTCATGCTTTATAAAAAAAAAAAAAAAAAAATCTGAGTTTTTCAGGCTCCTCTCCCAGGGATTCTGACCCCTTCAGCCCCAGACCTGGGAATCTGCCTTTTTTTAATCCTGCATCCCTGGTGATTCCAAGGCCAGTGATCTCAGGGTCACCTCTCTCGGGAAGCTCTCTGGACCCCATTAAGAGCATGAATACAAGCATCAAGCTGCAGGAACCCAAGCCTGGCCCTCACCTTTGGCCAGCTGTGGAACACGGACAAACTCCTTACCCTTTCTGAGCCTCAGCTCACTCATCTCTAAAATGGGGATAACACAGTGCTACCCATAAACAAAGCAGTACATGGAAAGCACTCAGAACAATGCCTGGAACATAGTGCTGGACACTTATTATTAGTGGATAAGTAAATGCTAAGGGATACTCTATTTATCCCTGTTATCACGGCCAGGCGAAAAAGTCTGTGTCTCTAGTACTTGAGCACGGTGATTGGTGTAAAGGACGTGTTCGGGAAATGTGAATGAATCAAGAGTGAAAAATTGACAGAACCAATCTTTCATTGCTTATTCTACCTTTTTTTAACCCTGTTATATAGGTTCTTTTCCTGGCCAGCTCTGGATTTTTCACTCATGAGTTTCTGAGCCCATGTTACATAAGAATTAAACCAGAAAAGGGAATTCCAACAAGAGCTGTTAGAGCTTTCGAGGGAGGAAAGGATGCATTTTTCAGAGTATTAGTCCTTATTTCTTTCCTCAGCACACAATTATCATGAGTTTTTAGGTGCCTGGCAGTGTGCTAGGTCCGGGGAGAGATAAGCTATGAGCAAAGCTGGTGGAAATCCTGCCCTCATGAAATCCTTGGTCTGCCGTGGGCGACAGGTGATTATTAATAAACTGGGCAAAATGGAAGTGCCCCTCTCCCCTCAGAGCCTACCCTGGGATCAAGGAGAGTTCCAGGCAAATTGATAATAATTTACTAAATGGAGTTGAAATGGTTTAAGTGCCCCCCCCCTTCAAGGCACGCAGTCCTGGGCAGCATAAGCCCAGTTCTCCCACACTCCCCAAAGACTCAGAGTGGCTCGGTGATTTGCTGGTGAGGACCAGTGCTGGGGACTCTCTTCTCCACCAAAAACTAGAAAGACAGACCATGAGCAACCTCCCCTGGTTCTTAGGAAAGGAAATCGGTAGCTGCTCCCTAAACTGTTCTCCATCTTAAGGAAGAATTGTTCTAAAACACCAAAAAATATTTCTATGTATTTTTTTCCTCATCATCACATCACTCACAAGGTTATGGCAAATTTTGTAAATAAAGAAAATAAGATAAGTGCAATTATAAGAGTCATGAAATTTTGGGTCCTCGCATGATTTATTCTCAATTGTGCCACTTTCAGAGACACAGTCCAGAGCCTGAGGTAGCTGACAGGAAATTGTACGTCGTGAGGTACCTGATTCACAGGGCACCTTGACATTTCTAAGAGTTCTCTTGCTTCTCCTCTGCAATTTCCCGCCTCAATCTGCTGCTTGGAATGTGGCTCTCTAAATTCCTAATTCCTCACTCTCCTCCCGAACACAGCCAGACCACCGCCTTGGAGGGCTCTCCTCTTTTCCTTCCTCTGGCTATCCCCAGGCTTCTGGAACTGACTGACTGGGCTGGGTGGGTCTAGGTGTGGACCCCTGCTCCCTGCAGAGAATGCAGACATCCACCCCCACTGCCCCCCGCGGAAGTTTTTCTCCCACTGCCTGGGTTTGGGCAAGCTGCTTTGTCTCTCTCAAACTTGATTTCTCACAGTGGTAAACCCTGCCACCCCCCTCCCCAACAGAGGATGGCTGGGACATCACAGGTCACCCTGTGTGTAAAGCGCCCAGGGGAGTGGTTGGTGTGTCACAAAGGTTCGCCAAAGGATAATAGCCTTCATTTACCCTATTTCATGTCGTTAGGAGTATTAAAATCATCTTTAATGCCACTGCCTCAAGATAATGTCTGTTCACGGCTAGGTAGATATTCTCCCAACCTTTCCCTCCTAATACATCTTCTTAAAAGCATATTTGGAATCATACTCTATGTATGGTTTTCATCCTACTTACCGCTTTTTGAAAATGGAGTTTCAGTGAAAAATTTGAAAACGGGAAATAGAAATTTTGTGAGGTTTGGAAAAAATGTGTTTACTTTTTAAAACGTTAGGTAAGAAAAAAGTGGGAAAAAATCAATAACCGTATTACCCAGAGGATTTACAAAGTGTTTTGCACACATACTATTTCGTATGTTCATTTTTTTTAAACTATAGCATTATTTCAGTGTCATGTTTTATTTCTTCTCCGTAGCGTTATGTTACACTGTGTCTAGTCTTTCTTTAGAAATATGTACCTCAGGGTCGCCTGGGTGGCTCAGTTGGTTAAGTGTCTGCCTTTGGCTCAGATCATGATCTAGGGGTCCTCACATCGAACCCCACGAGGGGCTCCCTGCTCAGAGGGGAGTCTGCTTCTCCCTCCCCCTCTGCACCTCACCCAGCACCACTTGTTCTCTCTCTTTCTCTCTCAAATAAATTCTTAAAAAAAAAAAAAAAGAATATGTACTCCAATTTACTGATGTATTTCCATACAGTTAGGTATTTTGTTATTATTCTTAGCCCCCTGTTTCTGTCAGTGACACTGTAGTGAACACATACGCACACATTTGTGTGG